CCCTCAGGCCTGGGAGCAGCCCCGGGGGTGTCCCCCATGTCCCCTTAGCTCTGGGGACATGCCCGAGGGAGGGCCCCGGTGACAGGGCATGGGATGGTCCTGGTGTCCCCTCAGCCCTGGGGATGTGCACGGGGGTGTCCCCCCTGTCCCCTCAGCCCTGGGGACTTGCCCGAGGGAGGGTCTTCTGTCCCCCTCAGCCCTGGGGATGGGTCCAGGGGTGGCCACTGTGTCCCCTCAGCCCTGTGACAGGCCCAGGGGATGACCCCTGTGTCCCCTCAGCCCCGGTGACAGGCTGGGGGGTGGCCCCTGTGTCCCCTCAGCCCTGTGACAGGCCCGAGGGAAGGCCCCGGGTCCCCTCATTCTTGGTGACAGGCCTGGAGGGTGTCCCCTGCCCCTCCCCACCTCCAGCCCTGTGTGTAAGAGGTGTAAGATCCCCCCATCTCCTTGTCCCTTCTTGTCCCCTGCCCCAGTTTCTCCTGGGGCCCCCATCCCAGGCCGGTGCCAGGCTTAAGGGGCTGCCGTTTCCCCTCTCTGTTACTGGTGACAGGCCCAGGGGTGTCTTAGCTCGTCCCACGTGCTGGTGACAGGCTGGGGGATGCCTGTTCGTCCCCTGGGGAGGGGCTGGGGGTGCTCCCCCTCCCTCCGAGCCCTACGGTGGGCTGCAGCCGCCTGTCCCGGCAGAGGCGGCAGGGCGTCCTGGTTGGAGTGGGGTCTGGGCCGGCGTTCGGGTGGCTGCCGGGGGTGTCTGTGACTGCGTCCGCTGTGTCTCGGTCTTGTTCGCCCCGTGGAGAGGTGCTCGACGCAGATCCCCGCGTTGCCCCTCTCTGGGTGCTGGTTGGAAGGGCTGGCTGGGCCGAACACCTTGGCTCGGAGCAAAGACATGTTGTCCTGGGCTTTCCTCCTCTGCAGAGCGCCGGCAGCCGAGGAGAGCAAGCCCGGCAGCTGCTCATCGACCTGGAGACTCGAGGGAAACAGGCTTTTCCTATATTCCTCTCGATCCTGCGGGACACCGGGCAAGGCGACCTCGCGGACATGCTGGTCAAGGAGTGCGAGTGGTTGCCGGCGCCGACGCAGCTGGTGGACCTGAGGCCTGTTGAGCTGGAGTTACGTGGAGAAAAGCATAATAAAAGTAAGTATTCAGGGTGTGGTTGTTTTCTGGGCAAACAGCATGGCTCATCGAGAGAGGCGACTATGCAGAGCCATTGGGAGAACGTCGTGCTTTCCGGCAGCGGAAGCTTTTAAGCTCCAGCTGCGTGCCCGTGGCGTTAGGAGCTTTGTTCTCTGTATTTTTGCATGTGGCCTCTGTGGTACTTTGGGGAAAAATTATTTTCCTTTGTCCTTGCTGTCTTGCGCTCCACTGAATCTGTGGGCAGATCCAGCTCGTGCGGTCGTGAGGAGAAACTTTAGGTTGTTGAACCCCAAAAAGGTGAAAAGCGACGCGACATCGTATCGCGGCCTCGCAGCAGGGTGGCTGCGACAGGGGCTGTCGGTGCAGGTCCTTCTGGGGACCCCGGCTCGATTACCTGAGGTGTGAAATCAGAAAGGGGAAGAGGTGAGACCTGACTGTCCTGTGTCGTTACAGATGCGAACTTCCCTGAACGTTTGTCCATCCCGGTCCCAGCTGAGAGCGAAAGACCTCGAACGCCTCCCGCGCCAGGCCGGGGTAAGCTGCATCCCAGGCTGCTCCAGAGAGCCAGGGTGCCAAATGCTTGTTTGCGGCATGCGGCGGGGCGGGAAGAGGGAATCGGTACGTGTAGCCGATGTGCCGTGGGCGACAGGGCAGGATCGACTTTAATTCCAGGAAGAGGAATGGGTATAACGTCTCGTTGCGGGGCACAGAGAGCTAAATACCCTGTCTCTGTTGTGCATTGCAGGTTCGGCTGTTGACAAGAGGAACCGCAATCTGGTTAGTATTTGGTTGGGCCAAACGTGTGCCCTGTTAAGCAAAGGCTCGTGGGTGGCTACCGGGAAATAGCCCTGGGACAGCCCGGCGTCGCTTCTTGTTATTGGAGCGGTCGCTCAGAGGCCGACGCCGGTCTGACGGGGCCAACGAGCTCAGTGGAGGTCGATCCTTAGCCAGCTCCTCTGGATTGCCGAGGCTGCCGCGCCAATAACATAGCGTAGAGCTAAAGGTTGTGCTTCAACGGTTTCCAGTAAGGCAGCTGGTAATTTCCTAAGGCGCTGACTCACGTGTTACCTGCGCAGCGGCCTTTAGACTTTGTAATCGTAGCGTTGAGAAACAGGAACTAGGAAAACAACAAGGAACACGTGCAGCACGCTTGGGCGACGCGCGGGGAAGCGAGCATTGTGAATATGGCAGCGTGCGTGTCTGGAGTCGCCTCCTGACGGCCTGCGGGTATCTGGCGCAGAGGGAGCAGTTTGGCCGTGTATGCGCCAGGCTTGTAGCTGTATTGCTGCAGGCATTTGGGTAGCCCTCCTAAAATTCCTGCGGTGCCGTCATCGGTGGTCAAGCTGAGCTCCTGGGAGATTTATCTCCCAGATTTATCTCTCGGCTCCTTGCGTGGGCTCTTGTGGTGAGGTTTGGCGGCGATGCCTAGAAAAACTCCTGGAAACTTCAACTTGCCGTCGGAGACGCTGCAGGTAAAGAAGCGGACGGTTTTCCGCAAAGGCAGTCCTCGATTTGGCAGGTTGCTTTGTGCTCCCCAGCTGCTGATAATGATGCACATGCGCGCAGAGAACAGTCGCTCTTCTCCATCCCTGGGCCCGGAGAAAAGAGAAAGCTGTCAAACGAGCTACTTTAAGGACTCCCGTTCCTCGTCGGCATCGCGTCCTGCTGGATTAGCCAGCAAGAGCTCTGATTAAGAGGGTGGTTAATTGTGCCGTGTGCCTGCCAGGTTTACGAGCTGAAAGCGGACCCGTGTGGACGCTGCCTGATCCTCAACAACGTCAACTTCAGCAGAGCCTCGAATCTGTCCACTCGCGTCGGCTCCAACGTGGACTGCGAGAAGCTGGAGAAGCGCTTCAAGGCTTTGCGCTTCGACGTCCTGACTCGGCAGGATCTCAAAGCTCAGGTGAGGCCGGCCGCATCCAGCTAACGCGAGAGGCGAGCCCCTGGCAGCGACGGCAGCATGTTACGGGACATACCCCCATGTCGGCAGCGCGCCAAAAGCCCCGGCCTGCGCCACGCAGTGAAATAATGAACCGCTGACGTCCTCTTATTTTGTTGTCGTGCTGCAATCGCAGAAGGAGAAAGGAGCTCGCACGCTTTCACTTTTCCGCCTGCACTGTGATTCCTGGTCGTGATTTGTTTTGGAAATCGGTGAGGCTGTGTGTCTGTGACAGCTCTGACAGCCTCTGTGTTGCGTGCAGCTGGGGGTGCGATTTGCCCCTCTGTTTGGGCCTCGGCCGTTACCTCGAAGCGGCGGGGGGGGAGCTCGATCGTCCGGAGTGGCCGCCGAAAGTAAGCCGAGGTTCTCTGTTCACCCGCTGGTCCCTTATCGGCAGCGGCGTGTTTTGGCAGATAAATCCCGCAGAAGCGCGTTTCGGTTTACGTCGCCACGTTGTAAAGAACGCGGCGAGAAGAGAAATGTCTGTAATTAAAGCAGCCGATGTTAAATAAGGGCTGAACCAAAAAAAGCCACCGACAGCGGTTCGCTGCCTGCACGGTGGGCGCGCGTTATCCCGCGGTGGTGAGATTGACTGGATCCTTCCGAGCAGCGTGGCTGTGGTAGACCAATAAGAGCAGGGCCTGGCAGTCATCTGCGGCCGAGGTACGATTTGAAAAACTCTGACCGTGACGTTTTCTACATAGGAAATGATTTCAGAGCTGCAGACGCTGGCAGAGCAGGACCACAGCGCCTTGGACTGCTGCGTCGTGGTGATCCTTTCCCACGGCTGCCAGGTGGGTTTGTCGCGCCTCTCCCTTTGCTCGTTAGCCTGATCGCCTGCAGGGGAAGGGGCGCATTCCCTGTCATGGCCCTTTGGCCATCGCAGGACATTGCAAAGAGTTATGCTCTTGTACCTGGGTTAAAGGAAACGGGAGCTTCTCCAGCGTAGTCTGATCCGGCGTCGCCCGCGGACGAGCGTTCTGCGTCTCGGAAGTTGGGGTGCATGACTCAGAACCGAACGATGGGCGCAGAGCGGAGGGAGGCGGCGCTAACCCTCATTCTGTGCTTATGTAGTCCGTCCTGTTTCTTCAGCCCGGATGCCATTAGTAGTAAAGCCTATTTATCGCAAGTCAGAGGTCTCGAAGGATGAGGAGAGGGGACCGAGTGTTAGGGACACGGTGTGTATATTAGTACGTGCGCGTTGACCCAGAGGATGAAGAACCCTGTCGCTGGAGGAGGCGGGATAGGCCTTGGATGAGAAGAGGAGTTGGATTGCTGGGGTTTAGCGTGTTTTGAATAGCTCCTGGGCATCCCTTCGCCCCGATGCAGCGTGCGCATCTGCACGAACACAAGGAAGCGAGATTTGTTCTGGTAGCTTTGGGCTGCAAAGCACCCGGTCGGAAATGGGCTCCCTCGGAACGGGCCTCGCCTTCCGCGTTACTAGCTGCTGGATTTTCCTCTTGCAGACGAGCCATATTCAGTTTCCCGGAGGCATTTACGGAACGGATGGCAAACCCATTCCAGTAGAAACGATTGTGAACTACTTCAATGGGTCCCATTGTCCGAGTTTGAGAGGAAAACCCAAACTTTTCTTCATCCAGGCCTGTGGCGGAGGTGAATCTTTGTCTGAGCTCCCAAAGCGAATCGGCTGTCGGGCATGAGCGGGCTTCAGCGATGTGGTTAGACTCGGGCTTCTCGTTCCTTTGTTGCTCATTGCCCATTTCTCCGGCTGTCTTTTCTTACTCTCGGCCACGTATTCTTCCTGCTAGCACGGGTCGAGTCTAAGGGCTCAGACCCGAGCCTCTCGTGGGAGGGCGGTACCGATTTCCCCGGGCTGCAACGGTTTGACCGCTCTGGAGGGAGACGCGGGAAGGAGGGGAGTAATTGCAGCACACGGCCGGGCAGCGCTCCGGGCCTTGGGCCGTGAGGTGGGCAGGGAAGCGCGGGGCGAGGGCGTTTGCGTGAATCGCCCGACGGCTCCGACTCGGCGGGCACAGCCGAAGAGCCAAAACCCTTCGTTTTGTTGGAGGGCCTTTATTTATTTATTGATGTATTTATTTATCCCTTCGTCTTTTCTTCACGGAGGATGTACGGTTGTTGAGTGCTTGGGCAGGATGAATTTCAGGGATCATCGTCTCGCCCCTTTTTGCAGAACAAAGAGATCCAGGCTTCGTAGTGGATTGTGATTCACCTGGCGACGAAGCTCCCGGAGGTTCTTTAGAGTCGGACGCGACTCCTTTCCGGGCTCCGGTGGGTAACGTGGATGAGCCGGACGCTGTAGCCAGTTTGCCCACACCCAGCGACATCTTGGTCTCCTACTCAACTTTCCCAGGTGACGTAGCCCCTGCAAATCCTTTCCTGGGTACAGGGGAAGTAGCCAAAAAGTGGGAGCTTCGTGGCCAAAGGCAGGGGCGGTTAGGGGCAACTGGCTCCGCCGGAGATGGCACCCAGGGAGCGGCAGTAACTTGGTGAGATGAGAAGGCTGGCTTTAGCGGTAACGTTCTCATTCTTTCTCTGAAGGTTTTGTCTCCTGGAGGGAGGCGTCAAGGGGCTCGTGGTACGTGGAGACGCTGGACAGCGTGCTGGAGCAATATGCCCGTTCAGAAGACATGCTGAACTTGTTATTGCAGGTAAATGTCTTTTTTTTTTCCCTGCTTTTTGTAGTCGTGATGAAGGAAATAGTCAGAGCTGCAGTCAGTCGGGGTGTGGAGGCGTACATTTAAAAAAGGAATGACCGTATTGAGCGCTCAGTTTAAGGCTAGGCTAATGGCAGGTACCGTGGAGAGGTCTAATTACAACGTAAGCATCTGGCCTCCCTCTGCCAAAAATCACCTCCAGGTTTCTCTAGTGAGAAGTAATCCTGAACCTACAGGCTTTAATCTCTGCCAAGGAAATGGCTAAAAAATTGCCCGGCTTGTCCCACCCTCAAAAGTCCGGGACACGGGGCACCGTCAGAAGCATGCCTCTGCGTGTCCGGGCGGATCACACTCTTCAGGAAGAGCCACTGGCTCTCTGGCACCTGGAGATCTCCACGGGCGCGCTCTCTTTTTGGGTTTTGCATCTTCCTGAGCTCCCGTGACACCATGGTGAGTCTCAAGGAGTGTCTCGCCCTTGGGCGGATGATGCCGGAGTTTGCATTCACACATCCCGGTGAGCGAGGAGTGCAACGCGCCGGGAACATGTGCCTTGTGTGCCCCATCAACTAGGGAGAGAGGACCTACTTTCGTTTTTTTGTCGCTTTCCCAATGTCGCGGTGCTGCTTTGGCGTGCGGCAGCATGGCAGCTGTTCATTTCAAGGGAGCAGTGCGAGACCCTCTCCCCGTCGGTTGGCATTCAGCGCCAGGAAAGGCACCTTGGGGAAATGACGGGCGTGCCTGGCAGAAAATGGGTGGAAAGGGAATTTGCTTTTAAGTAAAGGGCCAACGGGAAAGAGGGAGTTGTGGCTCACGCGGAGAAGCGCCCGCCGGAGGCAGCGGCAGCTGGGATGGCCGGGTGTTCTCGCCAGGTCGCGTTCCCTCAAGTCCCCTTTGTTTTTGCTGGCCAAAAGATCTCGCGTTAGGAGGCTGCCCGCTCTCCCGCCCCGCAGTCCCGCTCCCCGTCCTTATCGCCGCGCTTCTGGCGAGATGTCGCGCCCCGACGCGCGGGTCGGGAAAGCGTCCCGCGCCTCGACCGCTCTCCTTCCGTTCTCAGGTGGCCAACACCGTCTCCGCCAAGGAGGGGAGGTACAAGCAGATCCCGGGCTGTTTCAACTTTCTCCGCAAAAAATTCTTCTTCGCGTGCAAATGACGTGCGGGCTCCGAGCTCGCAGAGGAGAGCTCCCCTAGCTCGCTGCGACGTGGCCGCGCTCGGCCTCCAAGTATCGGTTTTCGGCAATCGCGACATTCGTGTCCTTTGCTGCCCGGATAACCGAGTGATGGAATTGAGGTCTGCTGCTTAAGCAGACTGGAATGGGTTTTGCAATCAATAGTTCTCATTTTCAATAAAATGCAATCGAAATGGAAAAAAATCTTTTGTCGTATTCCCTCGTCCGTTCTATCTCGTGGATGCCATTTCGGTGTCTCCAGAAGGCTTCTCTGAAATGGGAGAAGCAAGAAACAACTTGCCTGAGCAATTTTTTAGCC